CGCCCTATCCCACAACTGCCCCTTCTCAGCGTCCATCGACGTCCGCCGTTGGGCGGCTCGATGTCCCTCCCCCTCCGTCAACATCTGCTCCAGCTGCTCCACCTACGCAGCCACCTCAGCCAATGCCCTATACCACAGCTGCCCCTTCTCAACGTCCATCTACATCCTCGACTGGGCAGCCTCATGTCCATGGGCCTGCGCCACCACCTGCGACAACTGCTCCACCTACGCAACCCCCTCAGCCTACGCCCCATCCTCCAGTTGCCCCCTCTCCACGTCCATCTACATCCTCCGTTGGGCCGCCTGTTGCCCCCCCACCTCCGCCACCACCTAAGGGCCCTCCACCTCCGACACTACCTAAGCCCAAGTGGAAACCTCCGCCCCCTAGCTCTTCTCCAGACCCTTCTACACCCTCCGTCCACGGGCCTGGTGACTCGCCTGCACAAGCGCCTCAGCCAGATCCCACCGCCGGCCCTCCTCCAAGTACACCCTCAACAGAAGATGCCGGCACTCCACGTGCTCCAACACCTACGGCATATCCCGGATATGGTTCTCTTCCACGCACTAGTTCCAGCGGAAGAAGTGGACATTCTGGCTTGGGTCCCAAAAGTAGCTCTACTGGAAGCATAGGTTTTCCTATCAGCGAAAGGGTGGATGTTCCACCTGATGTACCGCCTGAAGAAGGCCCCAAATTTGGTACTCCTCCACGCAAACTCCCTACCCTCCTCCTCCAACACTGGAGGGCAACTGATGCGGAGTCTGCTCCCAGTGATGTGGAAACTCAGCCGCCTGAGCAACCAGTTCCGTCAGCAACTGATGCGCCTGCACCTCCTCCGGGACCCCCACAGCAACCTCAGCCTGAAACTCCCGGGGAGCCATCAGCCCCATCCCCATCGCAGGTGGCATTGCAGTCCACGCAGCCGTCTGAAACTCCTGCCCCTCCCCCATCCACCACTCCGGAAGAACCTGATGATGACAAATCCAAGAAGAAATCTAAGAAGGGAAAAAAGGCTAAGTCTTCAGATGGCGGAGAGCCTGAAGGCGGTACTCATCCCACGGGAAAAAAGAAGTCCCCATGGGGTTGGGGCTCGAAACGGAAAAGCAAGGATTCGAAGGTCACTTCCTCTGAAACGGCTTCGCCACCGCCACCCCCACCATCCCAAGACCCTGTAGAGCCATCTACGTCTTCAACCACTTCCACTTCTCCACCCGGGCCTCAAGAACCCGCGCTGCGCCCTCCTTCTGCGCCTGGAATCCCTGCCGTTCCCTCTGAAGCTCCACAAGCACCTTCGCCTCCACCTTCCTCGTCTACTTCAACTGCACCTCCCCCTGGACCGCCCACAGGTAAATCCGCCGGGATTCTCGCATAGCTATCCTCTCTGATCAAGGTTGGTGCAGTGTTTTCTTCACGTAGAGCATCACTTCGGCGTCCGTATGAATATATCCTCACGTCTCTGAATGTAAGTACTATAAATCTCTTGAGAGCTTTCTTCCATTGCCTTCATGTGTCCTTCCTGCAGAATCAATCCCAGAGCCGCGCGCTGCATCTCCAGCACCATCTGCGCCTGGCCCTGCTACGCTGGCGCCTCCAGTGCTCCCCCCTCGACCACATCAAGAAATGCCCCCATATCAAGGGCCGGCGCCAATTCAACAGCCTGGATCTCCACCTGAACACCCACCTTCCCTACCTGGGGCAACCGTGCCGCCCACACCGACCCCAGCTCCCCCGTCTGATGGACCGCAACCTGCTACGCCTCTGGATTATCAAGGGGGCGCCCGCCCGAAATATGGTCGTCCGCCAACCGTTCCAGTACCACAACTTGACCGGCCGGCGCCTACTGATTCACTTCACAGAAGACGAGGCCCTATCACCCCCGGTAAGCCAAGCACACTCCTGCCGTCATGTATGGCGCCTCTACAAGAGAGTCGTCTTGCATCTCCCCACGCGTCTAAAAGACAGATATTCTGGATCTTCTCAGCTTTCGCATCCATTTCCTTCCTGTGCCTTTCCTGCAGGTTTAGTGGAAGAATGGCTTTCGACATCCCCTGCTCCTCCCACGCCGCCGCCTCCAGCGACCCCTCCCCAAACGCATGAGGGGGAACCCCCTCGTCAGGGGCCCATGCCAGATCAACAGCACATACCTGTGACTAAGCTTTTCCTTGGCCATCCTGCAGGAGTCACCTCGCCCCTACCGACCCCTGCTCCCCCGTCTGATGCTCCCCAGCCTCCTCCATCTGTGGCGTATGCATGGGGCACACCCGCCCCTGCACCGCACGTCGCGCCTCCACATGAACCATTGACAGAACACGGACCAGTCACGACTCCGTCTGGTCTTCAACTGGGAGCGCCTGGGGTGTCTATCGGACCGGAATATCCACCAGTGCCATTGACTGCACCAGAAGACGAGCCAGTGGGTCCGTCCGGGGAATTTCCCCCTTCTCCTCCGGACGGACTTGGTCCTGAAGAGTGGCCTGAACCCCCACAACTTCCGCCTTGGCCAAGTGATGCAGATAACTTTCCGATGGATATGCCGCCCCCGCCGCCCCCCCCAGAGGAAGGGCAGCAGCAACCGGGAGACGCGCCTCCGCCACCAGAGGAGCCATCTCCACCACCTGCACCCCAGCCTACGCCACCAGGAGGGGACCCTCCCCCCCCAGAGCGCCCTCCTTCTCCAAAGAGAGAACCATCTGACCGAAGCGGCTTGGCTACGGATGACGATTTGGAGGCTATGGCACAAAAACTTGAAGGCTTCACACTAGGTGCCGAGGTGGTAACAGACACAGTCATGTACGACCCTAAGCTCTTAAGCAGAGCAGAAGAGCTTTTCGGTGAAGGATCGTCTCTTCTTACGCAAGCTGAACAACTCGCTTCACACCCAGATGCCGACCCTAGAAGGGTGAAGAACCTTAAATCCCGAATCGACGGCTGCCGCAATACATTGACAAGCTTAAAACGCTGTCCTCACACATGGGAGAGAAAGCTATCTGAGCTTACGGGTATCCTGAAGTCGAAAACAGATGCCCTGCAAACGAGTCGGGCAATACCTCCTGGTATGCTTCCAGACTGGCAAGCAATTATCAGTATGGATGCGCTACGGTCCAGCATGGGAGAGGCGACAAAAGCGCACACAGCGTTGGGTGCCCTCGGAGAACATTTCGCAGATTCTCCCACCCGGCAGAGTACTCTTCAGGCTGTGGCCCGGGCACTTGAGGCAGCAGAACAAGAAATATCTTTGACAGGGGGGATTTGTGCATCTGTCTGCGCGAAAGCATTATGGGATAGCATGCCCGATACGCCTGAGAACTCGTTGCCGCCGGCAGAAGACAGTACCCTAGTGACGGCGCAGTCCTTCAGCACGCGGTTGAGAGCACTAGGCATAAGCGGAAGGGAGTTTCAAGACCTGGAAAACGCGATAAAGGAAAGGCAACGTTTGGCCGGCATCTACTGATTCGTTTCCAGTGAATATGTCGCATAGGTGGCTTACGCCTTGCTGAAGCAGAGCGGTTGTCCGAGAAATATATATTCCTCGCTTGCCTGTCGATTGCACCTTCATGCTTCCACTTGAGGAGTGACCACAGGTGGGTGTTTCAGAATTCTTGCTGTCATTGGCTGGTGTGTTTCATTGCCTTGAGTAAGAGGCTATGAACACGTGCTCCACCAACGTTTGTGCTTGGGCGGGTGACAGAGAGTGCAAGTGGAACCAAAAGCTACCTTGCATTTTTATCTACTTGTTACATTCAGCAGTTTGACTTTCGTTGTCTAGGGCGGATACTGTGTTGACGGCGTCGACAGCCTGTGCATGGCAGTCGGTCGAATCGAGGTCCAGTGGCGGGTCAGCGTGCAACTAGTGTGGTGAATGCTGCCGGGTTGTATCGCTGCTCACCACCCTTGATCGCAACACAGCCCTTGACTCCGAAGTGTCAGTGGAGTGCTTGCAAAGGAAAGTCGCGAGAACGTCCGATCACTTTACGATTGCGTGGCATTCCCTCGTTTTGCAATTCTATCCAAGACACGAGATATCTATTTTTCCTGCACTATTTGCCACATACAGCCGGACCCTCGTCTACCTCAGCAAACGAATATGCTTGATGAAAGCGAACCTTCCACGCAGCTCGTTTATAGCAGATTTTGAGGCGGATTCGTCAGCTTCGTATGTAGTTGCATTGCACTCCGGCCACTTCAGCTGTTCCTCCTTCAACTACTGCTCAACAAAAGCTGTTCCCAACTACAGTGGACATCTATGCGGCACTGGCGAGAGACCAAAGAGTAGTACAGTAGGCACATGCTGAATTTCCAACTGCGCACACTCCAAAAGGGACGGTTTTCTGCAAAGACGATTCTAACCTTATGTTTCCGTCGCACTTGTAACGGCTGTTACACTCTTACACCAATGGCTTCTTCGAGCCGTACCCTTCGTGTTTGCCTAGTCTACATCATAATGCCATCGTCTAACCAGATGTTGGATCGGGTTGCAAGCAGCCAGGTCGGTGCGCG